CCTAGTTTGCAATGAATCCATTTTATGAACCCAATTCTCCCATTCGATCAAGCGCATTTGACAGAAAAGTTCAGTTTCTTGGGAAGAAGCACCTTTTAAGCTGAATGCAGAAAAATTCGGAAATAAACAATGTCACTGCAATGGGGTATACTCAGGAATGTGTACATTGTAAGTAACTTGATTAAATAGCCTGGAAAAGTTTTACTTGTAGTCTCAGTTTGTCAACCTAATGAAATTCCTTTTATATTTAAACCTAGTACACTCAGTTTCTTACGATTATCAACAGATCAATATTTGCTTGTAAACAGTATTATTTATAAAGAGCTCTTTATAAATAATCTTGAAATATCTTTATTTAAAAATTGAGAGTAAGCTTTTGACTTTCCTCATTCCGATAGCTTGATCTTGATGTAACAATCCAGAACCAAATGTCATTGTCAAGATTTGGTAGGTTTAAGACTAATAGCTTCTGCAGTAGGGAATGAAGTTGATAGCACATCCATGGGCTTATCTATACATCTAGAGATGTTATTATAAAAATGTATAGGCATGGGGCCAGCCCAGTGGCGCAGCGGTTAAGTGTGCACATTCCGCTTCTCAGCGGCTCGGGGTTCGCCGGTTCGGATCCCAGGTGCAGACATGGCACCACTTGGCAAAAAGCCATGCTGTGGTAGGCATCCCATGGATAAGGTAGAGGAGGATGGGCATGGATGTTAGCTCAGGGCCAGTCTTCCTCAGCAAAAAGAGGAGGATTGGCAGTAGTTAGCTCAGGGCTAATCTTCCTCAAAAAAAAAAAAAGTATAGGCAGTAGACATGGCACTACCCAAGAAGCCGAAGCAAAACAGCTTTTGCAGCGCCAAATGCCACATGCCTACCCCTGTTAGAGACTGGGAACAGTGATCCTGTAATTCTAGAATTCTGGATCCATGTTTGCAAAGTGGGAGGCCTGGACCAAAGTGACAGGTTCTTATATTTCCTTTCCCTCAGACAGTAAACTAAAGATTAAGTGAACCTGTTGGTAGCTGTACTAGTGAAGTCATAAGGCAATTTTAGAATCATAAAGAACAGCTGGCGTTACGTTAACCTTTGCACTCTTAGCTGTTTGGGCTGTACACCAGAGGGGGTGGGGAGTGGTCTCTTTTGTACTGTTAACAAGTGGAGGGATCTTACTGTAAACTAGGAAATGGCCATTGAAAAGCACGCAATATAACCAGATATTTTCTGCACTAATTGTGAGCACTTGAGGAATTGTGTTCCATTCTGAATAACTTGAGCAAGTAATTCTAAGTTTGGTCTTGTACCCTTGTGTGAAGTTTTTCACCCTATTTATTTGATTTCTTAAATAAAGATGTTTGTCCAAGATTGTGGAAGTTTAATATCGAATTTTTTAAGTGCTGCCCATCCCACCATCACTACTATTTTAGTCCTATTTCCCCTATTGAAAGTCTGCAAGCTAATAGAGCTCTCAACCCATTTTGCAGAACTCAGATCGCCTCAAACTAGGGACCAGAGCTTTAGGAGCAGAAAAAGATGCTCAGCTAGAAATCTAGGAGTAATTTCAGCCATGCCCATTGGAGAGACCCAAACGTATTTATTGTATATAGTTTGCTCCGCCCTCAATGAGCATGTAATGCACAGGGCTGTTTTGCAAGCCAGCCAGGAGCAGCAGCGTGCTGTTTCAGCACGAAGTTGTAGCGGGGAGATGGTTTGGGTCCTGGCTCAGTCCAACAACAGAGGTGCCCTGCAAATAGCAATCCTTTTCTCCAGGCTTGTGAGGGTGAGATGGGAACAAGTAACATAAGCCCTGTGTGAGTATATTACTGTAGTTAAGTACCAAATTACGTGTAGGACTGCATCTCTGAAGGAGCTTGAGGGAAGCCCAGTGATGAGTGTAGGAGTGGGTGGGATCTGAGGTGGGCAGCCCTGGGAAAGCACCAGACACGAAGGTGTGGAACAAAGCAGCACTGAGCGAGCACATGGGTAGGACAGCTGAGAGACAGACCCAGGCCTGGTGTAAGGGGAACACCAGGGGCTGATAAGTAGGAAAGCTCAAGAGCCGGCAAGCTTGCTTAGATCTGGAGGTAGGTGGTGGCACTGGAGGTTCTGCAACACAAGAGCGATGAGGGGCATCACTAGCACCTGGGCGTCAGGCTCCAGGGAGCACACGTATGTCAGCACTCCCAATGTGATCCAACTAAAATGCACGAATCTGGGTTGTCCTCGTTCATTTCCTAGGATGCTTCATTGGTGCCCATGTGTCCGTGTTTGTAGCGACCCTCGATCTCTGCTCTGCCCGTGCTACACTCATGTTCTTTCACTTTTCGGTCACCTCAGCACTTCGTGGCTGACAGTCCAGTGGTGACTTTTCAGAATCCACTGACTGTACACAGGTCTGTTTTCCTACTTAACACTTCACTGCCCCACAAGCCACTAGTACTGTGCAAGAACTGGCGCAACAGTGTCATGATATTAAAGTGATAGCTTATACAAGTTTTCATAGAAATGTAAAACACAAGGTTTTCTTCTAAGATGAGGAACACCTAGGATGTTTTAACCTCAACTAGGGAATTTTTCACAAGTGAGAGGAGGGTGACAAAAACATTAAGTAATCTATTGATGGAACTGTACTTTACCATCTTCCACACAGCACATTGGAACTGCTACGTTGGCTGTCAAATGAACATTTGTCTGTTCTCCGAAGTTCAGTAGTTCGCCTTTTTCTTAACGCTGAACTCTGTCTCAAAGGCTTTACATTCACGCCGACCTGGAAGCACACACGATCACAGAGCCAGCCCCACGCCCTGTGGTGAGGAACAGTACTGTTAACCCTGGGGCCCCTCCTCCCTGAGCTGGGGAGCGCGCACTCAGTACTTCCCTTCACTTGCTTCCTTGGGGCTCTGCAGCTGCTTCTACCACTCCTGCCACCTGCTTTGTTCCCCAACTCTCATTTTTTCCATGTTTCTCACCTTTGTATAAGTAACACTGGCCAATCAAAGCACCTTGTACTTTCTTCAAACAGAAGAATGAGATTTTCAGCTACCTTTTGTTGCTGGCTGAAGAGCTTTTCCATCAGTCAGCTGTAGTTTCTTTGAAGGCTGAAGCTACTTAGGTTCTGTCCCATTTCAGTACCATGTTTGGTCAGTTAGCCCTGTTCACTGGGTCCCTTTAAGTCACAGTGTGAAGCTGGATTACTCTCCCTTCCGTCAGCTTGTCTTTACACACATGAAGACCCGTCCCATTGACCATTTTTTGCTGCCCAGCTCTAGACCTCTTGAATGCCAACTAATCTAATCCCTGAATATTTAGCTGAAAACAGGTTACTGATAAAAAAAAGTTTTAAAAAGCCACTAAGGTATTGTCTATACAAGTATCAAAATTATACATTTTGTAAATACCTACACACATAAATGTTATAGGAGGAAATCTGGACACAGACACAGGGCGGGGGGGGGGGGGGGGGGGGGGGGGGGGGCGGGCATGAAGAGGAAAGGTCATCTGCAAGCCATGGAGAGAGGCATCAGGAAAAACTAAACCTTCCAACACCTTGATCTGGGACTTCAAGACTTCAGAACTGTGAGAATGCATGCTCCGCTTCAGCAGCCCAGGGTTTTGCCAGTTCGGATCCTGGGCGCAGACATGGCACCGCTCATTAGGCCATGTTGAGGCGGTGTCCCACATGCCACAACTAGAAGGACCCACAAATAAAATATACAACTATGTACTGGGGGGATTTGGGGAGAAAAAATCAGAAAAAAAAATTCCCATTGCTTAAGCCACCCAGTCTGCATTTTGTTATGGCAGCCCTAGTGAACTAACATACTATGCTTTCCTTATGTACTAAATATTTAGATGGATACCCAAGAAACACACATGGCTGTCTCCAGGAAGAGGAACTGGGTGGCAAGGGTAGAGATATTTGTCCCTGTGCCTTATGATTTTGAACCCCATGACTTTATCATCTATTCAAAAAATGAACAAAAAATTTACTCCTAATACCTATTGCTGACCAAGGTGTGGAAAACACTTTCATAAACTACTGCTAGATGTCTATCAACAGAAAATGGTTTGAATAAATTGTTAGACGTCCATACAGCTGATAAATGAGGTAGGTCTACTATAATGGAAATACGTCCAGATATTTAAGAGAAAAGGGCACGTCAAAAAACAATGGGCACACTTTTGACTTAAAAAGACAAAGCAAGTCCCCTAGAGAAAAAACAAAAGAAAGAATATACAATATACACCCATTTGTTAACGATGGATTCCTATTTGTTTTCTGAATGGAGGATTAGCTTTTCTGGGGGGATGATGATTATAAATAATAAAAACTACATCTCTTTCTAACCTGCGACTATGAAGAGATTTAATGTCCCCAAATTCAAAAGGTTAAAATGTTTTGCTTATAGCCAAATTGTCTGTTACGTTAGGAAACTAGACTTTCGAAGTTTAGCTTACTGTAATGATATTCTTTTCCAGTGGTTCCCAATAAGGGGCCAGGGAGAGAAATATATCAATCTAGCTTTTCAAAATATACCCCTCCCACATAACCCCCCAAGCATGTCCTCTGATCACCCACCGCTCCACAGTCGAGGGGCCTGTCCTGTCCTAACACACGGTCAAGTTGGTTTGCCTCTATAGGATGGATCAGCGAGAGTGGCCCAGCACATGAACTCTACCCATGGAAGACTGGAATTTGCTTTATCAGCAAGTCTGGTCATTGCAGGATGACAAAACTCTCTTTGACAGCAAATCACTAAACAATGTTCAGTGGTCGAAAAGACACTAAATACATGACCAAATACACGTCTTCATTAGTCCTCACACAAAGTACAGTCCTCAGTATTTCCTCCAAGAATGATAAAGCTGGCGGGGGGGGGGGGGGGGGGGGCACACGTGTGGCACACAAATGACAAGTGATGACCAGTGAGTTCAACTCTGACATGTAGAATGAAAGCGTGAACATGTAAATAATTTTAAAGAAAATGAAGTAATCAAAGAACTGCAGTGCAAAGCATTAGATTTTAATCTTTAATATCTAACATTATTGCTTTAGGTAATTTTTTCCCTGGCCCAGGAATAGAATGCTAATTACATAAAAATATACACATATAAAAAGTAGTTCTCCATTTTCCCGGGAAAAAGACAATAACTTTTGCAATCTTCAAGTGTTCTGTTTTAATTATAATTAAAGTCTTGGTCATGTCATTAGCTCTGTAACTTACATTTTAAATTAAACGTTATTAGACAACCGTTACAAATTATAAATGTAAGGTGCCATTATTGAGTAAATAGAATCTTCCGTGAGTGGATGCGTCCCTTCTCCCACCCGCTAATGAAGCAGCAATATGGTTAGTTTAATGTTATGAGTACAGGAGCCATTGCTGCAAACACTAACTCTCTTGTCCACCCTGTGTTTATTTGTGTATATGTGTGAGTTGGTGAGGACGCATGGGCAACCTCTCTAATGATCAACAGCAAGATGAGCTAGGCTTGGGCTTCCGGTGCAGGCTGACCGTGTCTGTCTGAATCAAGTGATCTGACCTATCCTCAGTAGCAAGCACTCTTCGGACCGCTTCCTCAAAGGCCGCTGCGACATTCGTGGCATCTTTTGCACTTGTTTCAAAGTAAGGATAGTCGCCGTTGTCCCTGCACCAGGCTTGGGCTTCTTCTGTAGACACTTGCCGTTCACTTATGTCAATCTTGTTCCCCAAAATCACAAAAGGAAAGCTTTCGGGCTCTTTCACATCTGCATAATATATGAATTCTTTCTTCCAGTTACTTAAGTTCTGGAAGCTTTGAGAATCATCGACACTAAAAGTAAGCAGGCAACAGTCAGAGCCTCTGTAAAATGGCGTCCTCAGGCTTCTGAATCGCTCTTGACCTGCAGTGTCCCAAATCTGCATGGTAACAAAATGTCCATCCACCTCCAAATCTTTATTTAAAAACTCCACACCTATTGTATGGAAGAGCTGGGTATCAAACTTATTAGTCACATATCTGTTCATTAGAGAACTCTTCCCAACTCCACCATCTCCAAGGAGGATTACTTTAAAAAGCGATGATTTCCCTGCCATTATTAATCTCAAGATCTTTGACTTCAGAACCCTGTAAAATAAAAAGGTACCGTTACATTCCTTTGGACCTGTACATCGCTCTACGTGATTCTGTGAATATCAGCGTTTAAGAGAAATAAAACACAGAGCCCCAATTCCTTTCTGCACAGGGAATACCTAATAGCAAGAGCTACTGTGCTCACTTACTGAGCACTCAACCGTGCGCCAGGCACTACCCTACTGTTACTCCCTAAGACAGCTGGTAAGGGCTCACTCTTCTCCTTCCTCGGGTCACAGCTGACTGAAGCTGGCATTCAAGCCCAAGTCTGACCCCGAACACCCTGCTCTCAAACGTTCCTCTCTATTCACAATAAGCCCTGCCACCATTTGTTAGAGATGCAGTAGAAGACCAAAGTAGGCCAGTTTCTGTAACAACTTCAAACAGCCCTTTGGTGGCACAGCGACCGTGTTTACTGATGGCTTTCCTCTCATGCCAGGGGTTTTCTCCATGATCCCCACTTTCTCTCCTCCAAAGCTATCACCATAGGAGCTGGTAACCAGGAAACCAGATACAGAAGCTGACTGATCTGGCTGTAAACAAAAAGAAGCCAACCACTGAATAAATGGACTGTATTCTCTTCATTAGGAACACTATTTTGAGCATGTAAAATTAATGTCAGCAGCAATGGCATTTTTAATATAATAACATAATCTAGCATGTTCTACCCACAAGACTCACTTGGGCAGCTCAAACTCTTTAACAAATCTGAGCTTGTGCTGTTACTTGTGTGTTTTGAGGGGGAATGAAATAAACCTTAAACAAACATGGGGTTTTTGAGGGGAAGCAGGATTTAAAACTTGTCTACACTACAGGCAACGCCTGTGCGGGGTGGGATTTCAGATGCCTGGTTACAGACGGCTACTTCTAAGTGCTAGGGGCAGCAGTGTTTCCATTTAAGGCTTCTATTTTAATTCTTTATTATGGAAAATTTCAAACATACACAAAATTTCTGAATGATGAGAGTAATACAATGAAACCACATGGACCCTAAACCTAGCTTCCCCAATTACAAACTTACGGAAAATCTGGTTTCCTCTCTAACTCCCCATTTTCCTTCTCCCCAGTTATTTTCATTTAATCTGTAAATATTTCGGTATTAAATGGCTTTTAAGTATAGTGACATTTATAAAAGAAGACAACCTTTAAAGTAGCAGTCTAACAGAATTTCCTACAACGATGGAGATGTCCTCCATCTGTACTCACCAGCCACATTTGGTTATTGAGCACTTAACGTGTACTGGAGGAAGTGAGGAACTGAATTTTAAATTTTATTTAACTAATTTAAATAGCCACATTTAAAGAGCCCATAGCCGTATTAGACAGCACAGCTCTAGAGCAAAATGGTAATTAACGTGAAGGCAGATACTGTGAATCCCTCACTGGGAAGGTAATAAAGACATGAAAAAATAATTGTGCTGACTAGGATGAATTGCAAAATCACTGCAGCAAACATCAGCTGGCTATCTCCTGGTTATATGCAAAACTGACCCAGTATACTGTAATTGAACACTTCCTGTCATGTGTAGGAATTCTGCATTTCCAACTACATGCTACACTATTCTGGTAAAACCTGTAGCAACTTGTCCGTAACTCTTACTGGCTCTTTTAAATTACTACCAAAGTAATTACTGCCATAATTAATATAATTTAAATTGTCCAACAAAAGTGTGAGGCAATCAAAGGACACACCTCTTGGAGACTTTTTTGACTTCCAATGGATCACTCTTCCCCATACCCAGACTAAATTAATCTTAGAGAGGAAACTGAAACAATCTCAAGCCCCTTAATTTCCTCACAGAGGTAACAATGTGCTAAATCAGTTGCTTTAATTTTTTGCTATCTTGCTTAAACAACTTCAAATTATAGAAAAAAGAGTAACAAAACCAAAAAAGCACACCAACTATTCTGACACAGGGGAAGCATCTGTCTAATGCTCCCTCCTGACCATTCCTCAGTGGTTCTCTAGAGTCAGGTCTAAGCCCAACTCCTAAGGCAGAATACCCGGCCCCGCTGCCCATTCTCGGCTTTCGTCCTTTGGAAATGCAGTCAGGTGGAAGTGAAATTCAATTCTACTTGCTCAGCTCACGCCTCCTCCCTTGCCTTTGCCCTGGCACACGCTGCTGCCTCTGCTGGTGATGCCACCCGCCTTCACCTAACTCACTGCTGGGCCCTCAGGACGGCTCAGCTCGCTCATCACCAGCACTGGGAACCTTCCCCAGCAGCCCCCAGCCCAAGGTTGCTCCTCTCACAGAATTTTTAAGATACATAAACACAAAAGTTCCGTGCTGTGTCATGAGGGTGTAACAGATGTGCCTAATTCCAGTCTATCATATATCCCAGTATTTTGATAAGTCTCTAACTGCCTTAACTGGACAAAGCTGTATTGGACAGCACTGAATTGTCAGGTTCTTTATATCAAATTATAAAGCAGATTACGCTGTCTAACAACCTCCACCCAGATGACTGGTTGCACACATCTACCAAATTAAGTTTTAGAAATTCCTCAGGATTTGTCACATAATCTTATCAGGACACTTTGATAGTTCCTTTCTTCTTTCATAGTAATGTGGAATATCCTAATTTGTGCCATTATTCTGATCAAACAAATTTGAGGTATGCTAGACCCATACACCAGGAAACAGGGTACAATATTTTACATTTCACATCTATAATTCGGGGCCTCTGAGACATCCTATTTGGGAGTATGTTGGCATTTGCTAAAAACTAATAAACACACAAACATTTCTTTGATTCTAACTGCAGAGTTGGCTATAAACCTATATGGTGATATGGGTAATTATACAAACCATCTTATTTCCCACTGAATCTAACAAAAGCTAGCTTCATGCAATCTAAACACTAACATAACCATAATTAGCTTATGGATATTAAAAATGTTTCCTTTTTCTTATCTCAAAACGGCAAAACCCTTTGAAACTTCTTTAGTGTAAGCTGAATGAATAAAGGTATCCTACCATGTTATTTTCAGAACTTACCTTCAAATGCAATGTGAAGTCTTTTATACTCTGCAGTCTGCAATGACTGCCCAAAGGCAAAAATGTTCACCAAGGTTAAAATATGACTTTAGCAATTCAGCTAAATTCTACAAAGAAATCTGTGTAAGAAAAGCACACTCCATAGGTCATAAATCTTACCTTAATTATTCAGTTCAAGCATCATCATTATCTGGAAAGAAAAAATTAGAAAGCTCACCTTAGCCAATGTATATTGAATTTGTTTTTATAATTTTAATAGTAAAAACAAGAATTAAAAGGTGAAAGAAATATCTGACTTCTATTAGCAGCTAGATTCTTAATTTAAAAGGAAAACTATACCTGAAAGCTGTCCATGACCTTTCTCAGCCTAAAAAAAGTTCTAGAATCAAACAGTACACTTTAATCCTAGTTTTTTCAGTTTCTCACCTGCCCATCCTTCTTTTGTAAGTTTCACAATCAGACAGCTGTAAAATTTTGTTAAGATGAAATGTAAAATGTTTCATTCATTCTTCAAAATTTGCCCCAATTTTTTTTTTTAAAGATTGGCACCTGAGCTAACAACTGTTGCCAATCTTCTTTTTTTCTTCTTCTTTTCCCCAAAGCCCCCCAGGTACATAGTTGTATATTCTAGTTGTAGGTCCTTCTAGTTGTGCTATGTGGGGCGCCACCTCAGCGTGGCCTGATGAGCGGTGCCATGTCCACGCCCAGGATCCAAATTGGCAAAACCCTGGGCCTCCAAAGCGGAGTGAACAAACCCAACCACTCAGCCACGGGGCCGGCCCCCAAATTTTGAGTGGCTTAGAATAATCACATCCTATAGAATAAAATGCAGCTAAGACAAACAAGGAAAAAGACGAGCCACGTGGAGGAGGGACACCAGCACGACACAGGAAGAGTTGGGCTAAGGCCAAGGCAGGACATAGAGTGGGGAAGCTTTTGGGCAGCCAAGGCAGAGGGGAAAACTTTCTCGTGACCAAATAGAAGCTGCTCTTGCCAAGGGCCAGGAACGTAGACCCTGGGCAAGCTACTTGACATCCTGAAGCTCCCGGGACAACGAGGACAACAGTACGCATCTCTAGGGCAGTTGGGAAGATTCACTGGGATGTGGACAACACTCACCACAGTGCCACGCTCATTACAGGAGCGCAGAAAGTTTCTGTGGAATGAATGCATGAAGAAGGCTTCACTGGCAGTTTTATGGAAAGGTTTCTTTTATGTCTATTTCTTAAGTCACATTTCACTGAGAGTCTTGAGCAGAACAAAGGAGAGAATTATGCAGGAGACACTAGGCAGCCAAGGATCCTAGCCCTAAGGATAAATTCAACGTGAAGGCTTCCCAGTGGCGACCGTGCGGAGCTGTGCTAGCCTCTCTCTGGCTAAACCAAAGAGGTCTTCCCAACTCCCCTCCCTTGCTTTTGTAAAGCACAGGGCATTTTTGTGGGACTTAGAAATTTTGCGGGACTTAACTTATAAATTCAACCAATCCAAAAAAGAGACTCTTCAAAATCGTGACATTTGGGGTTAAAGATAAAATAACAATAACAACGACAACTGCAACAGCTAACACTGACTGAGTCCTGTAAGCCATTTACTCTGCTCCGCTGCATTCACTGCTCACAACAAGTCTCTCATTAGCCCTACACTACAAATGAGGACACTGACTCAGAGAGGTTACACACCTTGCTCGAGGTCACAGAGCTAGTAAAAGGTGGGAGTGAGATGTGAATGCAGCCGACTGACTGCTCTAAAGCCCAGCACCTAACCCACTAGGCTCAGCTGCCTTCACAGTGATTTCTGAGGGTTTTCCTGTTGCCCCTGCAGGTATAACGAAAATAAGTAGTTGCAATGGTAAGTCTTTCAACTGCTTGCTTTGTTTCAAGATCTGCACAAAAATGAGTTAACCTGACGGAACTAATAGTATTCAATCCATTGGCAGGTCGTATAAAGCACATCTGAGTGTGCCTAAGTTTTATTAGAGTTTTGATAGTTTAAAGATGTTTGAAATGAACTGTAAATCAAATGTCTGCAGAACTCTGAAGCATCTCCCCAGAGACCTAGCGTTCCATGGAGCGGGCAGGAAAGCAGTTTTTCAACAAGCACCTAGTGAGCGTCTCCTGTGTGCCAGACACTGAGGGTGCAAGCCACACCCAGTCCCTGCCTTGTGGAGCTTGTAGTTGGGGGAGGTGACAAGCCGCACAAAACCCACGTGCCTTACAACTGTGGCAAGGCCTACAAATGAGAGGTATATGGTACAGAGAACAACAATTCACACTCAATCCAAAACCAAAGAACAGCTTAAATAGTGCAGGGTAGCGTGCCCCGAGTCTCCCTCAGCGACAGAGAGATCGATGTGTAAGCCTGCGGCTCCCTCAGTCGGGCCCAGGCCCCACGTAAGCATCTCATGGAGCAGCTCAGGGAGCTGCGTGAGTCCAGCCATCAGGGGGACTTCATTTTCATACAACACGATCCTCTAATACAGCCAGCAACTTCACTGGCCACTCAGTTAAAGAAAAAGTGGTCACTTCCAGCCCCCAGGAAAGCTGGGCTGCATTCCACTGTGTTAGTGAGAGTCCTCACACCAGTTTCCAGTGTGCGCTGCTCCAAAGCAATGTCTCAAGGATCATATCAGCTGCATGCTGTCCTTAGAACGCAGCCTCACCAAGGTCAGATTCCACTGCAGGGAGGTAACTCTGACCCAAGGCAAGCTCAGCAGCAGGAGGAGAAAACTGTGGGAAGAGGGGAGGGAGCTGGAACCAGGAAGTGGGACCAGGCCAGGCCAAGGCCCTGCCAAGGTAGTGTGGCCCATACTGGGAGAGCCCAAGGTAGGCCCAAGCACCTGGAGCCTGGAGAAAAAGAAGAGTGCTGTGCGGATGGCACTGGAGGCAGACGCCCGGAGTGGGCAAGGCCTTAGAAGCCACGAGAAGGATTTGTGCCTATCCCCTCACAGTAATGGGAAGCCTGAAATAGCTTCAGCATCGGGCAACCTGATCAGATATGGAGTCCTTCTGTAACTGGCTGCTGTCAGGGGAAGAGGAAGGTGTCAGGCAGAGCTTCCAAGGATGCCCTTACCATCCCTCTCAACTACCTCAGGTGTCAGCTGGCTTTGGGACTGAAAATCACAGCTCTCAGGCCTCATACTTGATCCTGCAGTAAGACATTCTGTGGCTCCATGCTTCACCTCGCTCCCTTTGAACCCCTCCTCTTGCTACCTGGCTAACTGCTGCTCGCCCTTGTAGATGCAGCCAGACCTCGTCTCCCACTGAAGCTCCTGCCCCTGTGCCCCTAACACGTCCTGCACCTGCACGTACCTCTATGCACAGAGGTAATACTGAAATCAGCACACTATGTCTAATAAAAACGAAACATGCTCTCTAAAAAGATACAGCTACATGGAAACGTATTATACCATTATAAAAATGCCCATACTTGGGGGCCAGCCCCGTGGCCAAGGGGTGAAGTTCAAGCACTCTGCTTCAGCGGCCCAGGGTTTTGCCAATTCGAATCCTGGGCGCAGATGTGGCACCACTCATCAGGCCATGTTGAGGCGGCATCCCACATGCCACAACTAGAAGGACCCAGGACTAAAAATGCACAACTATGTACCGGGGGGCTTTGGGAGAAAAAGGAAAAAATAATTTTTAAAAAAATGCCCATACTTTTCCCCCAGTTGTCAATTTTCTAGGCTATACCAAAAAATACATCCCCATACTATTCTAAAACCATCTTTTCTCAAAAAGAAAGAAAATGAAAATTCGCGAGATTGTTCACAGTAGGGAGAATGGAAATGACCTGAATGCCTAATTGGGGGATGCTGTGCACACCTTCAGGAGACACAGAGACGTGGGACTGTAGAAATACACTGTTGAGTGGTAAACCCAAATAGTATGCACACCATGATCACACCAGGTAAAAGTTTACAATTTTATATTAAAGTGTACAAGAAAACTTAAAATGATCAATACCAAGTTCAATCTTCAAAGTTCTGATTTGGTTGCAAAGTCATAATATCTTTTTAATATCAAAAGCATTTTTTAAAGTTTCATTTTCATTTAAAGCCTAGCTTGATTGACTGCTGCAATTAAAATGAAATGGAAACGATTTTCTTTTAAATTTTCTTCAAATACTGCTGTCCACCAGACCTCAAGGATAATCACTTCCTAAATTTTTCTGTAAGTCAGATTACATTAAAAAAAAACTCAGTATGACACTAAAAACACAAGCAACGAATGAAAAAATAGATAAACTGAACTTCATCAAAGTAAAAAACTTTTTTTTTAAAGATTGGCACCTGGGCTAACAACTGTTGCCAATCTTCTTTTTTTTTAATAGCATGGCACCTGGGCTAACAACTGTTGCCAATCTTCTTTTTTTTTAATGGCATGGCACCTGGGCTAACAACTGTTGCCAATCTTTTTTTTTTTTCCTGCTTTATCTCCCCAAACCCCCCCTGTACACAGTTGTATATCTTAGTTGCATGTCCTTCTAGTTGTGGGATGTGGGACGCCGCCTCAACGTGGCCTGACGAGCGGTGCCATGTCCGCGCCCAGGATCCGAACCCTGGGCTGCCGCAGCAGAGTGCGCGAACTTATCCACTCAGCCACGGAGCCGGCCCCAAAGTAAAAATCTTTTGTGCTTCAAAGGACACTGTCAAGAAAGTGAAAAGACAACCCACAGAATGGGAGAAAATACTTGCAAACCATACATCTGATAAAGGACTTATATCGAGAATATATAAAGAACTCTTACAACTCATCAATAAAATAAACAACCCAATTTAAAAATGGGCAAAAATGGTCAACATCATTAGCCAGTAGGGAAATGCAAATCAAAACTACAATGAGATACCTCTTCACACCCACTAGGATGGCTATAACCAAAAAGACAAACAAGTGTTGATGAAGATGTGGAGAAACTGGCACCCTCATTCACTGTTGGTGGGTAAAATGGGGCAATGATAATGGAAAACAACCTGGCAGTTCCTCAAAAAGTTAGCACAACCAGAAGGACCTACAACTAGAATATACAACTACGTACTGGGGGGGCTTTGGGGAGAAGAAGGAAAATAAAAAAGACTGGCAACAGCTGTTAGCTCAGGTGCCAATCTAAAATAAAAAGAAAAGTTAAACATAGAGTTACCATATGACCCAGCAATTCCTCTGTTAGGTATATACCTAAGAGAAATGAAAACATATGTCCACACAAAAACTTGTCCATGAATATGCATAGCAGCATTATTGATAATAGCCAAAAAGTGGAAACAACTCAAATGTCCATCAACTGGTGAACAGATAAACAAAATGTGCCATATCCACACAAGGGAAGATCAATCAGCCATAAAAAGGAGTGAAGCACTGATAGAGCACAGATGAACATCAAAAACATTCTAAGCAAGAGCCACATACAAAAGCTCGCATATTATATGATTCCATTTATATGAAATGTTCAGAATAGGCAAATCCGTAGACAGAAAGTAGATTCGTGGTTCCAGAGAAGGGGCAGGGAGAGGTAAATGGGGAGTGACTGCTAATGGGTACTGGGTTTCTCTGGGGGTGGGGGAAGTGATAAAAATATTCTGGAATTAGTAGTGCACAACTTTGTGAATATACTAAAAACCACTGAACTGTATAGATCTGAAAGAGTGAATTTTATGGTATGTGAGTTACATCTAAAGAATTCAGATATTTATAGATACACACACACACATAAATATATATAGCCTAAGAATTAGCAGTAAGACCCCAAAATTAGATTTACATAGAACCACAAATGATCTCCTTGTGCCTTCAGCAGTGTCCCTTTAAATAAACCAGGTACAGCCCAGTAGATCCTACCTGAGGATTACAGTACCATGTGCTGGCACCCACGCATGTTGTCTATGGCACACACTAACCTGAATGGGCAGTTGGATAAGTAGTCACCGGCAGGAAAGAAAATGAACCATGTTTTCAGCAGATACCTCAAAACTAAAGAGAAAAGAGAACACTGCGTATCAACGCTTTCCTGTTCCTAACACTATCTGCCAGCTTTTCTACTGTATACTTTCATTGCACCACCAATTGTTTAGGGACAGTTTATCAGCAGTACCCTTTTCTCTGGCCCTCTCCAAGCCCCTGCTGGCTTCCAAAGCCGACCACTACAATAAACCATGGGGAAGGCACAGCCAAGCATGGAAAATATAAATCTCTAACAGGAATGTTTGTATGGATTAAAGGTAGACATTTTTTATTGATGATGGATCTAATTGCCTCCATGCTTACAGATAACTAAACTGTTTATTTCTTCATTATATAAGGTTTTATTATATAAGGTTTTGAGCATGGCATTCAAAAAGATATCCAACCCTACTTTACAAGCCTGTCCCAATTATATCCCTACGACTCACCATGCCCACACCCATCAAAGGCATTTACTGTCCAGCATTTGCTCAGGCCCTTATGGTGGCCTGAGAGGCTCCTCCCTACACCTCAACAGCTAAGAAAAGCCTAGCTATCCAAAGGCCTAGTTCCCATCACCTCACCCAAGAAGCCTTCTATGGCCACCCCCAGAAACCTAACCTTCCTCTCTTTTTCACTCTCATAATCATTTCCACGTCTATTACAGCTCTCACTCACCTAGGCTCTCACCACCGTCAGCTGCGTAGGTGTCTATTTCCTAACTACAATGTCAGCTCCCTGGGAGGGGCACACAACACCTAATTCGATCCATTCATTTGTCCTTTTTTGTTCTATAATATCTTGTACCAAACTTGACAAATGGTGAGGAACCAAATAAATCCTAAACTAAGAACAAAGAGTAAATTACTTCCCCCTTTAGTCTTGTTATTCTATTCTTATTTTTCTGTTTGTATTTTAGGCACTTACAATGCTTTGTTTCTCTATTCAATCAGCTCTTCCCCCATTCTATTTTTGGGGTCTATTACAATGTGTGGGAAGGGACAAAAAAATTGATTCTTACTTGCAAGTCTAAGGAGAAAACCACTTTAAAATAAGTACTATGGACTACCACAGGGAGCTGGGAAATGGTGAAAACAACATTCCTCTAATAAGCCACCACAGGGAGAGTGGGCTGCGTTTCTAAACTGCTTTTCTCAAAATTTCAAATTTTGAAACACTTACTCTGTAACCCCCTGACTATAGTTCTCACTTCCAAAACCTCAAATTGAATTTATCACTCCTGGTTTAAATTTAGGAACAGATTTTTTTTTTCAAAATCACACGGTCCTTTTGCATTTACCCCAAGTATCCTAACTAGAGACATACCACTTAACTGCATTTCATTTCATAGCTTGAGAAACTGAGACTCAAAGACACTAACCAAGGGAAAAAAAGCATGGATAATCTTTAAATTATTTCTATTTTCGCTTGAGCTGTATTTATTTCCTTATATCTTAATATCAGCGTGTCTCACTTAGCCTAATTAGTTCCACTCTGTTTCCAGTCTTCCTGGTTGTCTCGCTGAAATGTATGAGTAAAAAGCAAGTCAAGGAAGTCATTAAGTCTCATGGGTGCTATTTCTACAAGAAGTCAACAACAAAAAAAGAAAGAATTAAGCAAAGTACCATAGGAAGAGACCAGCTTGGAAGCACAACTTGTCAGGTGAAATAAATTATCTAGTTGAGCACTGTCCCACAGAAAGACAACTAGAGATGGAGAACACTGTCAATGAAACTACACTGTCACGATGTCAGAGCAGCTCGCCCTATTTAAAGAACCCATTTCAATAAGTATACTTTTTTGAAGATGAGTCATCTAATTAAACTTTTAAGAAATATATACTCTCAGTTTTGCTTAAAACAGGGCACCTCTGTAGTTAAGTACACTAGTTAATCATTAATAGTGGTGGAGAGAGTGGGAAAGGAGAGAGGAGAAAAAACAGATTTGGTTAAGGAACTAAACCTTCTTAAACCACTCTGAAAGTACAGAGCAGCATGACCCAACAGAACTTTCTGCAATGATGGAAATGTTTTCCATCTGTGCTGTCCAATACACTAGTTACTAAGCACATGTGGCTACTGAGTACTTGAAATGTGGCTGGTCCAAGTAAGGAACTGAATTTTTAACTTTAATTCGTTTAAATTTCAACTGCTACATGAGTACTGTACTGGGCAGTGCAGGTATAGAGCGCGCTTAATTGGGAGGCCATGAAGGAGCTGCAGGGGGAAAATGCACCTCCTAGAATCTCAGGTACAATAAGGATGAGTGTATGGGTGGAAGCGTGTGGGCTTCAGCTGTTCTCTGGAAGGAGTAAAAAAGGTTTCACCAGATTCTTAAAGGAATCTGGACCTCAAGAAATGGTCGATACATGTCCACATCATTCATATGTTACGGGTGATCCCTTTGTGTGGTTCATGACACCCTCGAGACTTTCATCTTTACGTGGCAGCACTATTTCCCTTCTCTCCCTCACCTGTGAGACTTCATTAATATTACACTTTGACCACAAACTGTGAGGGTTCAGTGAACACATTTACTCACGGGAAACTGCTAATCCTGGAAGTGAGGATAACATTTTGTTCTTTCTTTTGTTTTATGAGGCCCTTAAAAGGAACAAGCATAAATCTACCTGTAATAAGAAACTCACCTGTAAAAGGCACTTAAAATGCATGACAATAATAAAAAGAAGGGGGACAGTTTAAGGTTGCACTTTGGGGGACAGAATTAAAATGCAAAACGGATAAAGGTCACAAGATAGGAATCCTGGGAATTACAGCTAGGTATTTTAGGAAGAAGAATGCATTGTGAAAGAAATGAATTTGAATATACATGTTAGAAAAATATACTGAAGCAGCAAAACACAAATTAAATATGACCTGCAACGATCTGCTGTAACTTAAGGGAGCATTGGTCTGACCCCTCTCTTCAAGTTCGGTAAGAAACCAGGCGTCTTTTATTTGGAGCAGAAAAGGGTAAGGGCTGGAGAACTCACACAGAACTCAGGGGAGAGCTAGTATGCAAACATGGCCCAGGAGGCATGGAGCCACAGCAAAGGAGAACTTCTTGGCTACTAGAGAAAGTAAGAGGAGTGGGGATTTCCCAAAACGATATATTTCAAGAAGACAGCTCTATGTTTGGTATATAGGACTCAACTAGATTAGAAGCTCCCATTCTGCAGGGAAGTTGTCACCAGGTCAAAATGAGAAGAAATGTAAGAGAACTGCAGGTAGCTTTCCAGAAAGTTCACCTCATCCCACTTTTCCATCAACAATGCCCCAGTTTGCCCCCACCAAGGTACTGAAACTGACTGCTTACAAAAAGCGTTCCAAGCTCAAACTTACTCTGCCATCACTACCCATTTCACCTCTATGTCTGATCAACTCTCCATGCCGCCCACTACACCCAGGCTCCAAACCCCTCCATCCTCATGAAGGTCAGCAGAAGTCACCAAAGACCTCCTAATAGCCAATCCAAGGGCTTCTCCTCAGCCCTCGTCTAAATGCCCTAAGGTACACGCAACCCTCAAGTAAATAAAGACAAGACTGCTTCTCTTAGGACTTCACTGTGTATGCTTCTAGAAAACACCCTCATGGCTGACCAATGTCCACACTGGAGGCCCACCCAGTAGAGAGTGAATTCTCTCAGATACAGCCATTTGCCTGGATGTACAGGACATAAAATCTCAGAAGGGTACTCAAGGCATTTTTTTTAAACAAATAAAGTAATGGAGGCCCAACTGGGAAAGGGTCTTGCAAAGTATCACACCTCTAGCTGGAGGCAGAGGTGGGACCTTCAAGTCTTAGTCCGGACTTGGCCACCATTACTGCCTCTACTAGGTCTAAACAGCCAGGCAGTGACCGTGAAAATGCCTCCTACTTAATCGTCCATAAAACAACTCTGACAATAGGTTCCACTTCCTCTCTCCCTCACTCTTAGCTTTCTGCAACCTAGATGGCTCCCTTTTCTAACAAGCTCTTAAAGTAGGTATATCACAAGGCTGAAGCCCTTAGCTCTTGCCAAACCATATCTTTCTGAGATAAAACCCAGTGATTGCTAAACTAAAGTCCACCACTGCCCTGCCACTCCTTGGGGGCCAGACAAGAATTCCAATCCCTTTTATAATATGTTCATCTGGCATCCTGATGGCAGTTCAAATTCAACATATCTCAACCCAAGCTATTTTCCTCATTTCCAAAAGCTGTCTCCTGTCTTCCCCACTTTATTCACCCACACAAGAAACGTGTTCACTTCCCTCCCTACCTATTGCCATTGTCTTGTTTGTTCAAATAACAAATGCTATGACCATAGTAACATTAGCCACTGCTGCTTACTAAATATCTACTAAGTATCTGGCACAAGGCACCTTCAAATCACCTGCAAGTTGGACACTATCATCCATATTTTATAGATCAATAAATACAAGTTTACAAAGATTAAATAACTTCCCCCGGTCCAACTAAACAGGGCAGGTCAAACCTGTTTCCTTTACTCCCACCAAAGGACAGAAAAGGTATAAGAAATCTACAAAGCCAAAAAGTACAAGAGAGAACAACTCTTGATGGTAGATGAGAAGTGGCAACAATATTGAAAAGATGGAAAGCAAATGGTCCAGCAGTGACAAACTGAAGGGACAAGAAACCTAACTCGGGAGAAGTGGCTCACAATGAGAAAGCCAATTCCCACCACAGACCTGGAGAGGCACAGGCCCTAGAGAGCACACAGGCACTGGATGCTTACTGAGCCAGGCCAGCCCAGGCTGAGAGCACAAGGGTTTCTCCAAAAGACCCCATGACCACCGCCCCTGCACCCGGTGGCCCCTTCCTCCACCAGCAGACTGACTTCCTAAAGCGTGTGCAGCAGAAAATGGGGATGAAATACTACAGACAACAGGGAGGAGGGGGGTCATGGGAAAGTCTGCACAGGAAACAGAGGCAGGGCAGGCTTTTTTAAATTTCTGAGGGAACCACACAGATACTGGACGTTTACAGGACACCGGGCAAACTGGCGCTCGAGGGAGTTCACAGTTTCAA